GTTCACACCCCATCACAAGCCAGCAAAACATCCACGAAACAAAGAAAGGTCTGTCACAGCCAAAAATACACTCCAGACACGCCGCTGGCACTAGAGGCACAGCATGGCCGCCTAGTAACGGCCCCGACCACTGCCACTCGACCTGACCGGAAAAAACCGTAGCAGGAAGCTAGCGAAGTCGTAGTATATATCGTCACAAATAGAACTGCCCGGTAAACCGTAGGCAGAGAGAGAGAAGAGGACAACAAACGAGGGGCTGTGTCTATATGTCATCAAGGACAGAGTCATTCTTGACCCTTTTCTTATCCTCTATATATGCAAGTTGACTCATTCCACACATCCTGAACCTACTTCACTCCGAAGTTGTTCAGAAATGGAAAGTCTAAAAAGTCAAGATTACAGCTCACACTTGGTGGCTGTGGCCTTGTACATGAGCTGTGGGCAAGGACAGGACATTACCTTCATTGCCCCGATTAACATCCATGTGGCGATGGGAGGAGGTTTATACATGATTGCCATCATGTTCTTCTGAAGCGCAGCAGCCGTACTAGGAAGAAATATATCAATCCAGTTCTCCACTTCCAGGTCGTGAAGACTCTGTCAACAACATTCACAAGGCAGATGACATCAACATGTTAATCACGATTCAGCCGTCGGCATAATGTCCAAATGGAAATAATCTCTAAACATGCAGATTTCCCATGACATTTCCTCGAGCGTGTGCCACTTGATGAGAGCAACACGCAGGACAGAATGCAATCCCAGTTCGGCTTACGGTCATGATTTTGATGTTCTGCCCCATCTTGCCTGGGTCGTTATCAAAAGATAAGGCACTGTCCAAATGGAAATAATCTCTAAGCATGCAGATTTCCCATTACATTGCCTTGAGCATATGACTTAATGAGAGCGACACTTTTACTTCGGCCCTCACGTTCGCCAGCCCGCCATAGTCGTTTCAGAAGGATTCCCTATGTTCACTATGCGGACGACTTCCTGATTGGAGTAATGGGACCTAGAGCACTAGCCGATAGAAGACGAAGTCTAGTGGCATGATTTCACGAAGTAAAGCTTATAGCCTTCGGCCCTTCTTTTCAAAGACGCTCATAACTCGACGAGCTAAAGGCTTCCACGGGCCGGCTTTTCTTGGATTTCTTATTAGCTTCTCCACGCTCTCCCACTTGCCTCGAGGATATGACTTAATGTGAGCGACTCTCAGGACAGAATGCAATCCCAGTTCGGGTTACGGTCATGATTTTTTTATTCTGCCCCACCTTGGATGGGCCCTTATCAAAGGTAAGGCACTGGTGCAATTCGAACGGGCCCCACTGACGCTGTATTCACTCTATGAAATCACTAACCTCGCTGCCCTGGTGCTATAGTCCCTTCACTGGCTGTAAAGATCTAGCTCAGCAATGCAAGTCCAAAGATCACCAACATGACGAAGAGATGCAATGTGAAGACTCAAATCAGATAAGACTCGCTGACGACGCAGTAACATGACAATGTGACATAAACCTGACCTCTCACCAAGCACAGAGGGGTCCAAACATTAAAGATCCTCCTTTTTTTTCCCCTTTTTCAAACAAAAATACAGCCGTTTTCTCCTCATATGGGGGACAGCCCAAACATCAAAGATCCTCCCTTTTTTTTTTTTTTTTTTTTTTTTTTTA